ATTGTTCCAAGCCGTGACGAGTATTGTAGCAATCAGCCAAGCCTACAAGGACGGGTAATGGATCTTATAGCTTATCAAGTGTTTGGATATCCAGTCTTCTCGGACAATAATAAGCTTGTGCTCCCGTTTCAATTTTAGGGCCAATTGAACTCGATTGCACCACTTCATGATGTTCAATATATTAATCAAGAAAGGATGCATGGAATGGTATAGCCTCCCTTTTTCTCCTTTTCAGACTCCAGAGAAGGTCTCCTGCTTATGACAATGATATCTGCACGCCTTATGTTGAGATAGAAAAGTTCATATGAGGTTGCTAGCTAATGATAATTCGTGGTATGGTTGACAGGGGCATTAAAATTTCAGATCATAACCATTTCCAGTTGTTTTGACATTCAGGATGGCTTACAAGATATGGTATATATTCAAAATTGTATTGAACGTCAGGTTTTTATCCTTTCAGATTACTAGCTGATATCTGATTTGGTTATTACTCCAGGGGGGCCAGTCAAATGCGGAAACTTCTTAGTTGCATTCCAGAAACTATTGTTGACCGCTGTTTTCTGTCTGATAATTGATAAAGGTGTCTCATTTGGGATTGCGGAGTAGGTTTATATCTTTGATCGCTTCCTTTTGGTTCCAAGTTCCAATTGACATACCCAACTGCCTTTGAGATGTTAATATTGTGTTCTATGTTCTGCTTAGGACGATGAAAGTTAATTGCCTACAGTTCTTTAACATGTTAGTTAACTTTTGTTATTTTCAAACTTAGTCTTGTATCTTTGTATATTAAAAAATAACACAAACTTAATTAGTATTTTGTAATTTTTCCTTCCATTTATGTACTAGATGATGATCCGCAATGTCTCGCAGTCCTGCAAATTTAGATAATATGGGGGTGTTTTTATGCAATGTTCCTTGTGCGTATGTGGTCTTGTGGGCCCAGCTCTTGTCTTATTGGTAGATAATTAATATATGAAATAGTTACATATATAAGTCTCTTCTTTTTCACCTACAAAATGATAGCTTCAAAATAACAGCACGGTATGTAGAACGTAAGAGTTACTTCTGTAATGATTTTATTTTCAAGAATATTTTTTATTTTTTTAATAATTTCATTTCATTTCTTAGATGTGTCTAAATTCATTTAGATAATAGATGTTCAAAAAATTATGTAATGAGAATATAATCTTGAAGAGATTATGAAAGTAAGACATATTTACCTAGTCTAAAAAAATTCTTTATCATAATCAATTTAACATGGATCCTATTGAATTAGGGAGGATAAACACACAAAATGCCATTTCTTTGATAGGTGTTTGATCTTGACAGATACTAGTGCTAATGATATTACAACAAATCAGTTTTAAGTACTTGTTATATGAAACGAGTTTGCTAAAATTACTTGAGAAATAAATTCTTGCATCAGGTTTTTATTATGCCAAAATAGGAATGTTTTATTGAATTATTCATTAGAAATTTCAAGAATGTTGTTCATCAGATAAATTTTCTAAGATGATATCTTTAAAATCATGAAATAGGGAACTATATGATGGATTCACTACCCCTAATGAAAATCTTTGCTCGTATAAAATCAATTAAGTTTAAAATTGACTACTCGATTTAAATTATTTCAAGTAAATGTGACTTCAATAAATCTTCTTTACTTGAAAAATATATAATATATCTTGGTAAGTTATGAAGGAATATCAAACTTTAGAAGTTAGTGGGAGATAACAAATTTAACGTGTACTAATGTTTGTCCTAACATATAAAGCACTAATCTGAGAAAGAGTTTTAAAAGTAGAAATTTTTGTCATTTCAATTATCAAAAGAGTTAAAGATAATATTGTTTGAGGTAGATGAGAAAAATATAAAGATGCACAAATTCATTACAGAACTTGGTTATTGCAATTTATAAAACTAAAGAGATCACATCAATGTAAATATATCTTAATTATTTTCTTTAATATGAGATATTATTAAAATAATTTGTTTATATATATAAGTAGCAATAGTTGATGCAAGACCTATAAAACATGTCAACTTAACAGAGCATTAAAGTAGCAACAATTCAATTTATTTCTAGTTTTATATCCTAACGAATCTAGTTTATTTTCTTAAAACTAGTACACAATCAAACTTAAGATTTAACTTTGACGGGATTAAAATTCTACATTAACTGTGCTTAAGACTTCAACACTATGGTTGATGTTCATATCCCACTTTTTCTCTTGTCCTTTTTCTTGGATTGTTTAGATTAAGTAGTCATATTCTATGTGAGGCACCATATCTCCAATAAGAAAAACTTTCTAATATTTTAACGAATTTGTGCTAGACAAAAATCTCATCTCATCTCATAGTTTGTGAGGTGAGATTTATTTTATTATATAGACAACAATGATCAATAGGTATATTACACGTATATGCAAATATAACTAATATATAATGAAATTGGTTACAACTATCTGTTAATTATAGGCTGTATATATTCCTTGCAGTATGTATCGCAATGATGAGCTGTTCTCCTTTTGGGAATATTTTGTTGACTATTCCCTTAAGTGACCATGTGATTCCTAATATTGCCCTTTAAACTTGATAGTGGGAGAAGAGGTTTAAGAACTCCAAGTTTGCTTCTCATAAGATAAAATTTTAATCCTGCTAGTGCCTTTGTCAATCCATCTGCAACCTGATCTTATGAAGGGACATATTGAACCTCTAACTTTTTTTCAAAAACTTTATCCCTTATGAGGTGAATATCAATCTCAGTGTGCTTTGTTCTTGCATGATATATAGGATTGCTGGCTAATTGACTAGCACTCATATTATCGCACAATGTGATAGGAATTTCAAGGACAGAACATAAAAGTTCCTTAAACAGCGAGTCCAACTAAGAAATTTTATATGAAACATGAGCTAGTGAACGATACTTAGACTCAACACTTGACCTTGCAACCATCGGTTGTTTCTTTGAGCTTCAAGAAACCAATGTTGAGCCATAATAGACGTAATGTCCTACAATTGACCTTATATCATCTCTACTATAGGCCCAATTAATATCAGAATAGTCTGTGAGTGTGTACTGATCACATGGTTTAATATAAAGACCAAAATTCTTTGTTCCCTTAAGATATCTTATAACTCTTTTTGTTGCCTGCATATGTTTTGTAGTAGTTGTTACAAAAATTGACTCAGTCTATTGATGATAAAGGCAAGATCTGGTCTTGTATGGGTATTATAATTGAAGAGTGCCTATAATCTTCTTATATAGATTGCATTCTTGA